CATATAAGCTACTAACTTGGGATTTGCTTTTTTTTGGCCTTTTTTTTTTTTTTTTTTTTTTTTTTTTTTTTTTTTTTTTTTTTTTTGCTTATTTTCGTCTATAGGGAGTTTTTTATAAAAAAAATTCAAAAAAAATTAGGTTTTTTGATTCAATTCAATAAGGCGAATCGAAAATTTATAATTTTTTTAAAAAATTCTGAAAAGACAAAAATAAGCAATCTTTTTTTTGATTTATTTTGACTTTTAATTTTTTTTTGAATTTTTTATAAAAAATATACATTTTAGATTTGTCTCAACAAAAATGGATTGGAAAAGTAAAAAAATTAATAAAAATAAAAAAAATTAGGAAAAGAGATGATTTTTGTTTGAATTGCCACAGGAGGTGCATGAGAGGTACTTTCCAGTCTGTTAATGGTACCATAAAGGCTGTTTGATAAAAGTGATTCATTGTACTCAACTTTGCCTTTGTTTGGGAAGTGTGTTGGTTTTTTAGCTTTTTAGCTTTTTTGGCTATTTTAGCTTGAGCTTAAAAGCTTGGTTTAGGAATGGCCTTTTGACTTTTTGACTTTTTTGAGTTTTTTTGTGAGAGAAGAATGTAATGATTATGCGTTGGATGTGATGTTTTGTTTGTTATGGTTAAAATAGCCTATTTTATCTTTTGTGGCTAAAATAGCCAAAAAAAAAGTCCAAGAACCAACTTGCCAAACAGAGGTAACATCTTCAGCTTTTACTTGACAAGGTACATTCGCAAATGGTTCAAAAATAAAAATAAAAAAATGAAAAAGATACATTTGCAAGGGCATTGCCTCTAGAAAAAAAGAAAAAAAAGAAGTAAGACCCATGATCATAACTATTCTTATAATGATATATGATAATTGATATGTTAATTTTTATTTAAAATCTCTAAAAATATATATATATATATACATATATATATATATATATACATATTTAATTTGATTCATAATAACATATTAAGTGTCAACATTTTAATTTGTTAAATGCTCAAACTTAATTCTTTTGTCGCATTATTTATTGTGAGTCTAAATTATAAATCTCTAACATTTTTTCTATTAACTTAGGGGTGATTTGGAAAGTTAGGCTTCGTTTGGCATGTTAGGTTTTTTGGTTATTTTAGCCGCAAAAAGGCAAAATAGGCTTTTTTGCTCAATAAGACAAAATATCACATCCAAATCATAATTATTGTATTTTTTCTCTCACAAAAGTCAAAAAAATCAAAAAGTCTATCTTAAACGAGACTTTTTAATCCCAGACTAAAATAGCCAAAAAGTCAATCCACATCCCAAACGAACCCTTAGATATAAGCTAGTTTTTTGGCTTTTTAAATTTTTTTGCCTTTTTATGTATAAAAAATACAATTCCATTTCGTAGCTCGAAATGGCGTGGGTCGAAAGGCCCAAAATTTGACCTTTCTTTGCACACCCACCTTTTCTTCTTTGTACACAGGTAATTCTTACCAAACTCAGACATTTCGTTTCCAAAAAAAAAAGAAGAAAAACAAGAACACAGTATAGAGAGTGAGAGAGAGGACGCCGATCAAGGTTGTGTGTGCGAAAGGATGCCGCCGACGAGGCTGCTTGTAATAACCTTCAACACTGCTTACCGATAAACATTGATTACCATTGAACTGAACTGATCACGACTGATAATTGAACTGATTAAAGTACTGAACTGACTGACTGAAAACTGGAACTGAATTGACTGAGTATGTACGTTAATTTGTATTCTATCTGTTTGATTGTTTATTTGATCTGTTCACGTTTTATGTTTAAACTATTAATTGAAGGCCTTATCGGCGGCCGAACCGGGAATTGATTAATGTTTTATGATCCTCATAATTAATGTGAATTTATGGTATATTTATCTGAAAACTGATTAGGTATGATTAAATTAGATTAAAATGAGTTTAATTGCAATGGTTGCTCTATTTACCTTAGAGCCATTGTTAGTGGCCCACTACCTAGTCACTATTAGAGCCTTGCATACTTGAATCAAAACATTTTCCTCAGCCATATATCTTGTTCAACCGACCATAGAGAGAGAGAGACTTGAGGAGTTGATTTCATCTCAATATTGCTTGGTAATTGAAGAAATTGAAGGTTGGCTGTGAATTGAGCTTCCTTGCCTTGAATACTAGACTTAGGTAGGAGATTTAACCTTCTAGTAATGTATTTGAGCTTGTTCATGCTTAGTTTTTGAGCCTCTAGTGATTTGAGCCTTGAATTGGTCCATATATGTTGAATTCATGCATGCATGTTAGTATTGTTGGATTTTGAGTTGAGTTCATAGCAATTGTCACATGCATGTCCATGTTTTGAGTGTAGTCCATGTTTTCATCTTGTTTTTGGATCAATTGGCTCCTTAGAGCATCAAATTAAGCTTTGAGTTGTTTTAAATTCATGCGTGTTTGCATGTTTATCCTGTTCTTGAAAATGGTTTGAAATTGAGTTTGAATTAAACACCCTTGGGTTTTGATTTCTCAAATTGAGCTTTGAACCATGTTATTCTATGTGTTTACAAATGTTTTCTGGAAATTCAGCCCAAGAGGTCGAGTTTTGACTTGTTAAAACTTGGTTTTTGGTTTGGAGGTGCAATCTGGGTTTTCCAGATTTTGCACTTCCGCTCGAGCGGGGACTAGTGACCCTCGAGCGTGGAATCCGAGCATCCAGTATTTTTCTCTACACTGTTTTACAGTCCGCTCGAGCAGAGGATTGGGCGCTCGAGCGGAGGCATGTGTCTCACGATCGAGCGGGCGTCGAGCATCCGTCGAGCGGAGATTTCACCCATCCAGTACTTTTACAGTACGCTCGAGCGGGAAAGTTGACGCTCGAGCGTGTACCTTTGTTGCATGACCGCTCGAGCGGGGAAACCTGCGCTCGAGTGGGACTCTGTTTTTCTGCTAAATTCTGAAACTGCTTTTTGAGTACATCTTTGCATCCTCATCCCATTCTAGGCATTCTTAGGCCTAGTTTAAGGCATCTTACTGAGGATATAGATGTAGAACACACCGAGGCATTAGGGGTTAAGTTACTATCTTTCCCAGCTGTGTAGCTTAGTGTGTTCAATCTGTTAACTGTGTAGGGTTGGCGACTGGGGAGGCACGCTCTAGCTTACTGTAACCCAGAACTCTGTGAGTAACGATTGTGTAAAGATATGTTCACAAATGATTATCTTCTGAACAACTGAACTGTACTGTTTTCTGAACTGATTACTGTTAACTGAATGAATGTATGTCCTATATTCTGAACTGTATTGTGGCATCCTTAGCACCTACTGTTTACTGTTACTGTTACAGAGATCTCTGTCGGTTCCCTCGTGGAACCGCTACTGTTTACTGATTGATGGCCATCATTACTGTTCGGTCTTTTAAGACCTACTGTTTACTGTACTGTTATGCTAATGGGTGTACCACATATGACTGTACTGACTGAACAACTGAAATACTGTTTAATTGAACTGTTTTCATACTGTAAGGACATTCATTCTTAACCCCTTTACGCATTATGTTATTCACTGGGCTTTAGCTCACTGCTCATATATATATGTAGGTGTTCAGGCACCAGACCGCGGCTAGGAGCGTCAGAGTTACTCCAGTTTTGTCAAGCCAGCCTATGTGCCTCACTGTGAGGTTCCGAGCCTATCATGTTAAGGCTTAGGGGTGTTTTACAATTTCCCCTTCTGCACTGTCTTGCTGTTTTGTAATAATCGAATGGATTGTATAGACTGAACGTTTACTGTACTGCTATATAAGGGATGGAGTCCCTAGTCTGAACAATTGTATATATTGTGTATACTGTTCTATACTGATTATGTATATATGTATGAAAGTCTTTTTGCATACAGACTGTCACAGCTCATTGGACATTATTTCTTTACTGTTTTGGCTTCTGCCAGGCCCTGTACTCTGTTTTAATGTGCTACTGTTAAGCAGGCCTTTGGTAATCTCGGATTACTGGCCGGTTACGGTGCTAAACCCATAGGGCCGGGTTTGGGTCGTGACACTGTTGCCACTGCCGCTACTGCTGTGTACGCGAAAGATGCCGCCGTCGCTGCATGTGTGTGCCGAAAGGTGAGTGAAATAAAAATTAATGTGGTATGATCTGGTCTCCGAGAAATATGTTTCTCGTAGCAGATTGAATACATTATTAACACAATCCCATTTCATAGCAGATTGAATACATTATTAACACAATCCCATTTTGTAGCTCGATGAAATGTTCTGTTGATCGAAATGTTAATGAGCTGTTGATAAAATGTTCTGTTGATCGTGGTTCGAAATGTTTTGTTGATCTGTTGATAAAATGTTCTGTTGTGTTAATCTTGTTAATGAGATTGTTTTTTGTTAATCTTGATAAAATGTTTTATCAAGATTAAAATTTTATCAACATTATTAACATATTTATTCTTGTTAATGAGATTGTTGTTATGAGATGAGATTGTTAATCTTGTTACGAAATGGGTTGTTTTTTGTTGATGAAAAAAAATGTTGTATTGATGAAATCTGCTGCTGTTAGGGAACATTGTTGTTGATGAAAAATATGCTCTGTTGATGAAATCTGGTGCTATTAAGGAACATTGTTGTTGATGAAAATTAAAAAGGAACTTCATGAAAATTTAACAAGATTAACAAAATTCACATTGTTGTTGTTATGAAATATACTGCTGTTACAAAATTAACATTGTTGCTATGAAATCTGTTACAAAATTAGCATTGTTGTTGTTATAAAATCTGTTCATAACAAGGAATTTCATGAATTCCAAATTCAATGTTCTGTTCTATTCAATGAACTTCATGAATTCAAAATTAATTCAATGAATAATTCAATGCTCATAACAAGGTATTGTTATATAGATTGCCATTTTGGCAGGGATCCACTTACTTGAAAGTTATGTTTTCTATAATCAGATTCCATTGAAGGGCACTCCACATCAAGTCACTTACTTTCCTGAGAAGAATCTGTACCCACGTTGAAGCTAAAATGGATGTTGATTCAATGAATAATTCATTCAATGTGAGTGAGGAAGTTAAAGAACAAGATAGCAATGTTGAATTTAATGAAAGTGGTGAAGTTGAAGAATCGAAGAAAGGGATGTGTTTTATCTCCAAGTAAGAAGTACACACATTTTATGCAAAATATGTGAAACAACTTGGATTTGCTATAACTTATAGAACACAAAATGTAACAAGGGATGGGGAAGTAAAGTACTTTGGAATTGAATGTAGTCAGGCGCGGAATAGAACAAAAAGATCAGAAGTAAATCCCCTCGAACCATCTTTGTCATCAAAAATAGATTGTAAAGCAAGGGTTCGAGCCACTCTACAAAAAGATGGAAGATATAAGTTAACCATACTTGTGCTTGAGCACACTCATGATTTCATTCCGAGTGACTCACAGCATTTTCCAATGAATGAGAGGATTCTTACTCCGGTGAAGAGGAGACTAGAAGTTAATGATGCAACAGGGATTGGGGTGGCTAGGAATTTTCATTCCATAGTTGTTGAAGCGGGGGGATATGAGGCATTAATGTTTGATGAACAAGATGCAAGGAATTATATTCAAAATGCTAGAAGATTGAGACTTGGGGTAGGCGACGCCGAATCAGCTACATTTTATTTTCATAAAATGCAACAACAAAATTCGAACTTCTATTTGGCAACTGACCTTGATGAAGATGGTCGCATGCGAAACTTGTTTTGGGCGGATGCAAGGAGTAGGGCGACTTATAAAGCATTTGGGGATGTTGTCTCTTTTGACACAACCTATTTGACAAACAAATATGATATGTCATTTGCTCCGTTTGTAGGAGTTAATCACCACAGTCACTCAATTTTGTTTGGTTGTGGGTTGTTAAGTAATGAGAACACGGAGACATTTGTTTGGCTTTTCAAAGAATGGTTAAGTTGCATGTTAGATGCTCCCCCAAAAGCGATAATAACTAACCAGTGCAGAGCTATGCAAGATGCCATAGAAATTGTCTTCCCACAGGCTCGGCATCGTTGGTGTTATGGCATATTATGAAGAAAATTCCAGAGAAATTGAGAGGATATTTGCAATATGAGTCCACAAAGGTTGCTTTGAGTAATCCAGTTTATGATTCATTCACAAAAGATGAATTTGAGGAATACTGGGAATCAATGATTGAAAATTTTAATTTGAATGATAACGAGTGGTTGGGGGGATTATACCATGAGCGACATAGGTGGATTCTTGCCTATGTTAAAGACATATTTTGGGCTAGCATGCCAACTACACAACAAAGTGAGAGTATGAATGCATTCTTTGATGGATATGTGAACTCCAAGACAACCTTAAAGCAATTTGTTGAGCAGTATGACAATGCGTTGAGAAGTAAGGTAGAGAAGGAGACAAAAGCAGATTTTAAGTCTCGTAACAAATCGTATGATTGTTTAACGGTGTATCGTTTGGAGAAGCAATTTCGTGCAGCTTACACTAATTCAAAATTTAAAGAAGTTCAACTAGAAATGAAGTGTCCTCGTGCTACTTCTCGGGTATTAAAGGAGTTAATTAACTCCACTCCCCATTCTCTGGTTCCTAGCCATGCCATTGACAGAATTGTTTGGCTCCCTGCTACTGATGGCAAGTTCTCTATTAATTTCACTTAGAATTCCTAGAGAAAGTCTTTTGCCAAGGTCTCTTGGGCAGGTTTGCTTTGGGGTAATCATAGTATCCCGAAAGCCAGTTTTGTGACTTGGATGGCTATTCATGGTCGTCTTTACACTGGGGACAAGTTATCTCGTTTTGGTTATACGCATACTGGTAATTATGGTTTCTGTCATAACCATTATGAGGATCACAACTATTTTTTTTTCCACTGTCCTTTTTCGGATAATGTTTGGAAGGAGCTTCAGTCTAGGATTACTGTATCCTGGCCTTGTCTTGAATGGCCTGAATTGGTCAATCATATTTCTAAACTTGTTAAGGGTAATTCTGTGGGTGCTATCATTTCCAGACTTGGGCTCACTTGCACTGTTTACCAATTGTGGCTTGCTAGAAATAACAAAATTTTTAACAATGATGCTTACCCTGAAGCTGTTGTTGTAAAGCGGATTATGGATATGATTAGGTTTAGAATGTTGTCCATAACCAACTTGAAAAATTATTCTAATGACAGCTGGTTTCTAAACAAGTGGAGGCTACCTACCTCTATCTTGAAAGAGAGATGTAGTGATGGTAGCAGAAGAACTTTGAGTGATGTAAGATCAGATAATGTGGGTTGAGTGGCTTATGAGCACAAACTGTGGGTTATATAATTTCTTGCTAATTTTGCAGTGCTTACAAGCTGGATTGAGTGTTGCTATTTACCATAAATTGAGGGTTGAGTTTTGGTAGCCAAATACACATTCCATTCCACTATCCACAGAGTGTTTTCTAATTGTGACAAATATATATATTGCTGTTACACTTTTTTGCAGGTGTTTGACGGGGCTGAAGTTGTATAATGGGACCTTCTCTTGTGGGTTGAGTGTTGAGAGACTATATATTGAGTGTTATTCGTTATCTGCCGAGTGGTGTGAGGCTATATATTGTGGGTTAAGTGTTGTGAGCCCCTACATTATATGCATTATACCATTTGTCCTGTACATATTCAGGTTTCTGTTTGGCTGCTCTCTCATTATCTATATGGTTGAACATGTTTTATTAAATCTCCAAACTTTAAGATTTGGGTTGCAGCTGTTAAGGATGATGGCAGGTTTACGGCTATTTTGCTGTTGGTGTTACGTCTGTATAGCTATTTTGGGTTTCACTAACCTTCCTAGCTTGAAGATGGAAGAATCACTTGTAAAGAATGCTGGTTATAAGATGTGCTTACATAAAAGCTGCTGGGGTGTGTACATTTTCGCTGCTGCTGGCAAGTGTAATAGCAAAGTGAAGGCCATGTTTTCGTCTTTTGTGACGAAGAAAGTTGTTTTTGTTATTTTGTATATTTATATTTTCTGAATTTGTATCAAATTCTCTAATCTCCTTTTGAGCCTACCCTTGTGGGATGTGAAAGGGATGTTATTTCATTTAGGTGTCTTTGCTGATAGATATGTTCATGGCCCACATATTTTGTCTATAGGGCCCATGAATATTCTCCTTGCATCAGCTAATTCTCTTTTGCTTAGGGTGTTGTTTGTTGCTTCTGCACATATTTCTATTAGGTTTTGGTTGAAGTTTTTGATGTTCTAGCAGGTTGTTTGTTTTGGTCCTTGTGGGCCCTCATCCTTTCTGGGACGGGTCTGCATTGTTGCTGTCCAATTTTTTATTGGTTATTGTATAGTTCTGTTAGGGCCTGGGGCATGCCCCTTGTATTTTGTGTAAGTTTTTGTTTTTATTTTATGACTTATTCACCCAAAAAAAAAGAAATGAAGTGTCTAGTGTATTGTCGTGCAAATCTTATCAAAGAGGAGGGCGCAATTTGTACCTATCATATGAGGGAGGCTGTTGTTGTGGGTGAGGGGATGAAAAAAGTGGAATTTGTTGTATATTTTAATTCAACTGAATGTAAGCTCCAATGTATGTGTTGGTTGTTTAAGTTTAGAGGTATTATGTGTGCCCATTCACTTTGTGTGCTCATTGAGAGATCCATATATGAGGTGCCAAATAAATACATTGTTTCGAGATGGAGAAAAGACTTGGAAAGAGGCTATACATGCATTCCAACCACATATACTAACTTTGGCTCTTCTCTATATCCAAAGTTGCATGATAACTATCACAACACGTTGGATGAGATCCTAGAACTTGCTACCAATGATAATGGTAAACACAAAGTGATTCAACTTGGGTTAATGAAAATCAAGGATGAAGTGAGAACAGTTCAATCAAGTAGTGCGAGTAATGTGCCATGTACTAGTACTTTACCACCTTCGAGTACTACTTCACCACCTTCCCATACTTCACCAAAAAGTCTGCCTCGTATCAATATTAGAAAAGAAAGCATGACTCACAAGGTACTCAGTCCTTTGGTTGCTCGAAGAAAAGGTCATCCATGTACGAAACGGAAGGTTAATGCAATAGTGAATTGGTTGAAGAGAAAAAATAAGAAGACTAATCCGGTACAGGTACATTTTTCATTCCGCACTACATCTATATATTGCAGAATTTGTTAAACTTCAAATATTCATCAATGAACCTGTGTTATAGGGTCAGAAGGTGCGTCAAGGTGAACCTCGTAAGTTAAGCTTTCCTTGTACGGGAGGCGTGCAACACACTATGTATGAATCGGTACGGTTTAAATATAAAAGTTGTTTTGTGTTAGCATTTTTGGCTTTTAATTTTATTGCTTGAAATTACTAATTCACTTGTGTTACTATTTCATTATTAGGTGCCGCCAAATCAACCTTACTATTGTCCTTCTATGGATGCCATAGCAGACAGTATGTATGTACTGGTATGTGTTGAACGGACTTAATATATTGTACTTTGTTTGTTATCGGTTGATATTGGTGAATATGTTTGTGGATTTTTTTTTAATATCTATTTTATTTTTACAGGCACCAGTTAGTACAATTGGGGACGACATTGGAAGCACATCTCATACTCAAGCTGGAATGCTCAACAATATTACCAGTCAAAGTTTGATAGTACCATCAAATTTTGTTAACTTGAACATCGACGGGGATTCATTGTTTTTTTTAGTTTCGAAGTGGTAATTGTAACCTGTGTATGTTGACTGAAAGAGTATGACTGAATTTGTATGTTCAGTGAATTTGTTGAATTTCAACTGTTGAACATGGACCATTCATTAGTGAACCTGTGTATGTTGAACCTGTGTGAAACCTGTTATAATGAAGACCTGTGTATGTTGAACCTATGTTGAATTTGTATGTTCACTTAATATACATGCTGTGGCTAGAAACCTGTTATAATTTTCTCATTATAAAATTTAACATGGTTCAGAGCAATTGATCCTTGCTGCTGTGGTGTTCCAGCAGCTTTTGCTTTATGAACTATATTGCTAGTCCTTGTTGTCCATCCAATCTCCAACTCAGCTAATGTATTTTGGTACTAAAAATTTCTTGTTCTAGTAAGCAGTTCTCTCTATTGGAACTTTCTTGGTATTAATTTTCTTCTTCCTCCCGGGATTTTCACAATCTGATAAGTCATGTAGGTTTTCAATTGTGTTTCACACCTTCCAAATTTGCCTTCAAGACCTTTGGCCCTTTCTCCATCCGAGTTTTTAAACAAACAAACAAAAAAGAAAAGAAAAGAAAAGAATATATAGTAACAGGAACTATCTCCAATATGTTGGCAGGAGTCAACAGTAAAACCAGTGTGGTTAAGAAGACCCACCAGGTGAAGAACAAGCCAAAGTTTGGCAATAAATTGCCCAAGAATGGTGGCACATGATCAGGTTAATCTTAGAGACTTTGAGTACCAGTTTGCTCTTCAAATTAACATAATAACAAGTGGCTAGAAACCTGTTATGTTCACTTAACAGAGCCTACATTCATTCAACTTAACAAGTGGCTAGAAACCTGTACCTGTTCATTCATATCTGTTATGTTCAAACAAGCAAACAAGTTCATTCATTGATTCATACACAGATTATTCGAGTACCTGTTATGTTCAAACAAACAAGTTCATTCATACACATTATTCATCTCATAACAGAGCCTACATTTATACACAGATTTTTCTATTAAATAATAGACACTATTAATAATAGATTTTTAACAATAGGTTTAAAATCTCATAACAGTGCCTACATTCATTCAACCAACAGATTTTTCACCTATTAATTAAGCAACCAACCAACAAATTTTAAAGCGCCAACAAAAAAATACAAAACAAATAGAAAAGTAGATTACATTTATAGCATGTTTGAAAACCAAACAATTGAGTGATTTACATGATAAAGTACAAAAATGCACAAAATATAATGACATAAGTCATTGCCTTCAAAATCTTCTCCATCCTTTGAAGCCTTCTCTTATGCTCATGAATTGCATTGTCCATCAGGTCATTCCTTCTCCTTATATCATTAATTTCTTTTGTTCTTGAATCTGTCTGAGGTCCACCATTGGCACGAATTGTGGAGGTAACGTTGTCGTCGTCATCATCTGCCCAACTGAAGTAATTGTAGTTTTCGTTCGCACTCTACAATGCAGAAGAATCAGTTAATCAATAAATGACAAATGAAATTTGTAAAAAATAAAAGATTAATTTATATAACAGATACTTACATATTTTGTTGGGCAAACAAAAAAGACATGTCCTTCATTTCCATTCTCATTAGTTTGTACAATATGTACCGCCGCTGTTCTTCCACAATTACATAATCTTGGCTTTAATCGTATGTTCCTATTATTAGGTCAAGTTTGGCAAGTCTATAAAAAATCAAAAAGTCAAAAAGTTACTCAAAAAGTTAACACTATTCACTAAAAGTCAAAAATTACGGCTGCACAACTCTCAATCCTAATTTTCCCATACACACTAATTTATACAATTTTTTAATACATATTTTTTCATAAAAAGTCAAAAAGTTATCCCAAACATCCATATTTTTTTCCTCAATTTTTTAGTCCAAAAAGACAAAAAGTGCACTTATTTAGGACACCCCAAACAACGATGAAGCCATTTTTTTATCTGCATAAAAATGATATATTGAATTAACCAGGTTAATCTTGATAACAGAATTCAATCTTGAATTAATTTGGTAACAGACTTCTTGAAACTATCGTACATTCATAGGATCTTGAAACAATCTTCAATTAATTTGGTTAACAAACTTCTTGAAACAAATCAGTAAAGACTTCTAAGTTCAAGAATTGAATAGTTTTTGTTGGAATTTAGAAATCTTGAAATTATCGTAGATTCATAGGATTTTGATTTTACCCTGTTGGTTATTGAGAGTACAAACTATTAGGAAAACAAAAATATTGAATCTTATGGGTTTCTTTTCAATTGTAAAAAAAAACTAAACTCAACGAAGGGGTTAAGTAATTTACATTGTTATAGAGCACTTCAAATCTCAAATCTCATATTTTTATTTTCTTTTATTTTGATTGGCAACAAAGACATTTTAAACAAGAAGTACTAGTGACAACTTCACATCATTCAGATACCAAGATTTGGATTTGAAAGTTAAAGAAAAAGTCACTTTCAAAAAAATTGTGAAAAAAATAAAAGTTAGGAAAAGGACTACACGTCAAGCTTTTTTCTGTCATTTTCATCTTTTTCTATAGTATTTAGATTACAAAAACAGTTTTGACATGACAATATTAAAAACTCTTGCCAATCACTTACATGATTTTCATCTTTCTTTTCAAAAGTTTTATACTGATGTTAAGTATTTATCTATCTAGTTTTCTCTATGTTATCTCAGCAAGCAAACAAAGGGGTTTTGGCTCATAAGGAGGGGTAGGGGTGCTGTGTGCTAAAGAAGACCGAAGGGATTTAGTTTCATGTTAGAATAAAATGTAAGGGCAATTATATAGGAGCATGCAACTGAATTGATAACATAGCTAAGAATGACTTCAAATTAATGATCCAAAATCATCCTATTATTTGCTTTTAGTCATCAAACAAGCCAGGTCTGGTTCGATTCTCACGAACACATCCACCATTTGATTAAGATTTCTTTTCTACAAAAATAGTAATGAATCTTATGAATGTGTGAAGTTGACTTGAAATCGATATTCAAGCAGGAGGGAAGAATTTCAAAGCCCAGATGAAGATTTTGAATCAAGAGAAAAACCTTAGTCGAACTTAGGGTTAAATTAATGAGGTCATCTTCAATAACACTTCAAATTTTATGACTGAAATTGAAGTCGATGCTGCCCTTCGATTTCAAAATCACGAACTGTTAGGTTCACGAACTAGAATACAAATTAGAAAATTCAACTAGTTATGTTTGTTCACTATTGAACAAGGCGTAAAAAAATCATCACAATATCCAAGCCTCATGTTGAGGCAAAATATGCTTCATTGCTTTAGTACACCCCACAAGAGGAGGCTTTATCACAAATGATCATGGAGTATACATTTTGTGATAATGTAGAACCTTTAACTTTCATCAATATCATTGGAAATTTGAAAATCTTGAATCATTATTCCCAAATCCCAAACCTACTCTATTTTATATATATTATAACAGAGTTCATTCTTGATAACATGTATAAAGGTAAATCCCAAATCCTAAAACATCACAAATTAAAGCCAAATCCCAAACCTTAACACAAATTATAAGCAAAATCCAACCCCAAACACTCCCAATCGATTAATTTCTAAAAAAATTGAAGCCAAAAGTAAAATCCTAACTTTGCGATTTTTCATTTACCTCAGATTCGCTGTCGTAGGCTCCCGTTCGTCCTCCGTTGTTGTTCGTCCTCCATCCTCCGTCGTCGTTCGTCCTCGTCCTCCCTCGTTGTTTGTCCACTGTCTCCTCGTCCTTCATGTCCCCCGTCTCGTCTTCCTTCGTACTCCTTCAAGGCCAGAGTGAAGAGATAGAGAGGAGAGAGGGATGAGACGACAGTGAGAGAGAGGTGCTGATTTCTTTTTGATTTCTTTCGAGCTACAAAATGGAGTTGACTGCAAAGGCGGAGAGGGAAGATATCGAGAGGAGAGAGAAATTTCTAATTTCGAGCCGTTCGAGCCCTTCAATTTTTGAGCTACGGACCATTTTTGAGAAGTGATATGACCAAAAATAAATTAAAAGCTAAAAGCTAACTTCTTAAATTGCCCCTTAGTATGATAAATTGAATTGTTAATCAAAGTTTGTTATGTCATGATTTGTTAATCTACAGTAAAAGAAGAATGAATGAATATGTCATATTGCTCTTGAAAATTGGTCATGTTGGTGCGCGTGTTTATTTTATGTCAACAGTTTAGATGGATATTTTTTATTAGACTTATTTGACACAAAATAAAATATGCAAGCATAAATTTATGGGGTTTTTTTTTTAAGGTCCTTGATATTATGATTTTATAACATAAAGGACATCAAATATTTTTATGATGTCTAAGGTCCATCAACAATATTTTCATAATGTAAGTTTGTTGAAAAATTAAATTTGAAAAAATTATAAATCAAACTTAAGAGTTTGATCTTTGTAACAAAATAAATCATGAATTTTTTACTTTATCAATTTAAACCTTAATTACTTAATTTATTTTCAATCTACATCATTTGTCTATTTCTCCTAAGTATAACTGATAAAAAAATATTATTTTAGTAATTAAACTCAATGTAAATATACATAAAATATCTAAAATATCATTTTTCATTGATTTTAATGATTAAATTAACATTTCCGTCAACTTGAAAATAAATTTAAAAATATGATTTAAATTAATATAATTTATTTTGTTGTTATTTATTCGTTTAAAAAAACAAAAAATCACTTTCTTTGCGTAGGCAGAATGTCTAAAAATAAGGAAAATGAGTGAGATTTTTTTTATTTTTTATTTTGAGACTCTCACGGCTCTCAAAGTGATTCACACTATGTATATGTGGGGTTCACATTATAAATAGTGTAAATTACTTTGAGAGTTGTGGGATTTTCAAATTTTTTTTTATTTTATCTATTATTGTTGCTAAAATAACAATAATGATAGAGATTCTTTTTAAGAGAATCCCACAACTCTTAAAGTGATGCGCAGTACTCATAATATAAATCTTACATATACATAAATAGACTTTTCACACCATAAATAATCGACCCCGCTACGTAGTTCGAAAGAGTTTGGCTCGAATTTGGCTCGACACCAAAACGACGTCGTTTTGGTGTCTTTTTTTTTTTCCTGTGTTTTTGTTGCAAAAGGAAGAAGAAGAAGAAGGGTAGAGAAGAAGAGAAGGAGAAGAGGAGGAAGGAGGAGGACTGGAGGAGGCATAATCATAGGGGGAGGAGGAGGCGGAGGCGACGGCAGTGGTGCTGCGACGATCGGCAGCGGCGGTGGTACTGCGACGATCTCCTCTCCTCCTCTCTCTTTCTCCCTCTCTCCTCCTCTTTCTCTTCTCCTCTCTTCTCTCCCTCTCTTCTCTCCCTCTTTCTCCTCTGTCTCTATCTTCAAATTCGAATTCGAGCCAAAATCAAGTCACTTTTTTCGAACTACCAGCCATTTTCGATAAATAATAAAAATCACTTTAAAAATTATGAATTCTTCTAAAAAGGCGTCACACTCATTTTTCCAAAAGTAAATGGATTGCGGAGCAGAAGCCCCCACAGGCACAATGTATAGGCTGTAAATAGGATTTGCTGCATTGTCCACGTTCATAGTACTATCTTCAATCAGTTTTTTTTTTCTTCTTTTTAAAAAAGTTAGAGATTCTTTAAAAAAAAAAAAAATACTGAATATTTTACAACTATTCAAATATTGGATAAAATATTTGATAATTTTTTAATATTAATATTAATTGACAAAACACGGTTGACAAATTAATTCCAATAGTAAAATTAATTTAGCTACCAAATTTAAGATAAAAACTGTTCTTATTATTAATTGCGACATCCACCACCAGTTTAACATCAACTTTCACTTCGATATTTTTTAAATTTGGATTGATAATAACATTTAAAACATCTCTCAAAGCCCATAACTCAGCATCAATGCTTGGAGATTGTTGAATGCATCTACAAAACCCTACCACCCAAATTCTATTAGGCCATGTTTGATTCACAACACTAATAGTGAGGTATTAATAATCCTATTAAATTAGTGTGGTATTAGTTATCCCACCCCTACCCCATTACTAATAATCCTACAAATTTGTTGGATTAATTATCCATTGGATTAATAATCCTAAACCAAAATGTCAAAACAAACATAGGATGATTGGGCCCACGGATTAATAATCCCAATCCTATGCTTTAATCCTTCCAATCAAACATGCCCTTACGGTCCTGATCACTTTGGTTCACTTCGGTTATTAAGAAGTGCTTGAAATAATTTTAAGAACATGATATTCTCGGTCATTTTATTATTCCTATCAAAAAGTAAAAAAATAGATAACACAAAGAAAAAAATTATGATGCTTGTCAAAAACTTATTTTGTTTGGTTTGTTTCTTACAAAAATTTTTGGAAAAAAGTCTCTATAAACAAATTTTCAAGAATAATCAAACAAATTTTTTCAAAAAAAATCTCAAAATTTTGTTTGATTATTTACTTTCCAAAATCACACACTCTCTCTCATACACATCAAATCAATCACTTTTTTTAAAATTCTTTCTCCAAAACAATTTTCTAAAAGAGCAATGGTAAAGGGCCACAAAAACAGTGGCTCAAATGGCTCAAAACTGTCAAAACAACGTCGTTTGGGCGCAAAACCTGTCAAAACGACGTCGTTTTGGCAATTTTGAGCCATTTGAGCCACTATTATTGTGGCCCTCAAACATTTTTCTTTCTAAAATCATTTTTGAAAAAAGGCAAACCAAACAAGTTTTCGTACTTCTTATCTCAAAAACTACTCTACAAACACAAACCAAAATTTTAACTCGAAAGCAGTTTTTGTAAACAATAACCCAAATGAATTTTCGGTTTTGCTTTCTTCTTCTGTTTTTTTTTTTTTTTAATTTTTTATTTTATGCAATACTCAGAAAGATAAATTTGCCAAACATTTATATTGTTCCAAGGATTTCAATAAAAACTCGTCAGTGTGGCTTCTATTTTTTGTTCAATTCTAAACCTTGGACCTAAACAGGATAAAATTGCATGAACTAGAAGGAAGTGAAGATATATATATATATATATATATATGGAGTTTTCTTAAGTGTGCAAGTGCACACCATGTGCCACTTACACAAAAAGTGTAAGTGTAAGGTGTAAGTATAAGTATAAGGTGTAAGTGTAAGTTGTAAGTATAAGGTGTAAGGTGTAAGTAGGTTGCACATGGTGTGCAACCTCAAAAAAGGTGTAAGTGTAAGGTTTAATTTTTTACAAAAGGTGTAAGTGTAAGGTGTAAGTGTAAGGTATAAGGTGTAAGGTGTAAGTTGCACACCATAACCAAACCCTATATATATAGGTACATATTACATATAATCAAATTTTATATTATTTAACTTTATTGTTACACCAAAATGAATAAACTATTAATATTATTTTTTCATTAAAGTTGCAATCTATACACATTTTTGTTAATTGATATATATATACAGGCAAACTAGGAATAGTTTTCAGAAAATTCTACACTCTTATTTTCCGTATTTTTTTGTTTTTACTGAATTTTTTTAATATTTTAGGCAAATTTTTTACTTTTTAGACACACCTAACATAAATACACCTAAAAAGTAAAAAAATTGTAAAAAGAATCTTTTAAAAATTCACTAAATACCAAAAATACAAAAAAATATAAGAATTTAATACATTTTTTGTATTTTTTGTATTTTATGTATTTCTTAATTTTTTAAAATATTTTTTCACAATTTTTTTACTTTTTAGACACATTTAAGTAAGGTGCATCTAAAAAAGTAAAAAAAATGTTTAAAATTTTAAAAATATTCACTAAAAATAAAAAAATACGAAAATCAAAAAATTCAATTTTTAAAAAACTTAATTTAGAAAACTCAAACCAAACACAGTGATTATTTCTTCTTGAACGAACTTAAAAATTTTTAATTTAGGCCAAGTTTGGCATCTTCCAAAAAATTCAAAAAGTCAAAAAGTCACTATTCTATTTAAGTCACATCATCTTATTTAAGTCACATCACCTCTCTAATACATCACTTCAAATCCAACCCAAATCCAACCCATATTTCATAAAAAATCAAAAAGTACACTTATTTAGTCTTCCCAAACTTTCCTTTAGACTTGAGCTAGTACACGTTATAATTATATAAAGCAATTTTATTTCACACCCGATTTGGCTAGACATATATAATAGACGCTAGGTAGAAAGTGAACAGCAGCTAGAAGGTTTAATTTTGTGACAAGTCTCACCAAAAACAAATAATAATAATAAATTACAATGACTTTTTTTTTTAGATTTTTAAAAAATATAATAAATTTTATAATTTAATATATTTATATTGATGTAAAAGATATGACAATATCATTTTTTTTTAAATTTATATAACAAATGAATTATTGAAGAAAAATAACAAAGTATTATATGAATTAAAAATTTAAAAGAACTCAAAGTAATTATATTAAAATTATAAAATTTACTGTATTATAAAATAAAATAAAATAACTAATATAGATATATTAAAGCCTTATTGGACACCATAACTTTTCTAAGAGCTTAGTTCTTAAGGGGAGATCATGGGTTCAATTCTATCTAAGTGAATTGAATTAAGAGGTAAATCTATATAATAAGGCAAGAGGTTTTTTGAAAATGTCTTAAAATGTATGTGAGATACATTTTGATCCAATGGCTGAGATTAATTCTAAGTTTATATCAATGGTTGAGATGATGTCTGCCCAAACGCTCTCTCTCTCTCTCCCGCCCAAACGCTCATCTCTCTCTCACTCCCACATCTGCCCAAACAGACGCCTCTCTTCACAAGTTCTCTCTCTACACATCTGGCCCTCTCTACACGTTCGCTCATCGCCGCCATTGAAGGGGAAGATCGAACTTGGCTCATCGACACCTACCCTCCTCGCACTCGCACCCGCTCCCTTCAAACCCATCGTTGCTGCAATTCAAACCCATCGTTGATTGAGTTCCGTGACGATCTTGATGACGAGATGGATGATCTTGATGATTGAGACTATTTCTCTTTAGCTTATACACAGATCTTAATGGTTTGGCTGTTTTGACATCGGCACTCCCTCTCTCTCTCTCTCTCTACATACACAAGCAAACCCCAAAAAACCCTAGATTTTTCGATACAAATTCCAGGGTCTTCGAACCTTTCGATTGGTTAGCACCGCCACTGTTAAGGTACAAACTGATCAACAAAATCGATTGGTTTCCTCGAATTG